TGGAAAAGTAGCTGTTTTGAACCAGGTGATGCCAATCTGGCCTAAGCATGTTGACAAGGATAAACACTGATTCTCTGAGCCTACGTCTATAGAGAACTCATGATCATGCTTACCTAAATATGTAGTGGCCAGTTAACCTAACTCTTTTTTTAGGGTTCCACGAAATCTATAAGAATCTATAAGAAATCTCAGAGGAATATAATGCAAACTGACTTCTTTATCTATGCTCCTTTAGGTCTTTTGCATATCGAATGTTGGCCAAATTCAGAAGGCATTTGGAATGCCTTAGAAAACAGCCATATTCTATTCAGAATATTTTTTGCAACTTCTCTTTAATATCACAAAATTCCTGAAACTCATGACCGACACCAACTGTTTCAGCCGGCTTCACCCAAACCTTCTTCGATCGCGTGTTCAATCTGCTTTGGCATCTCTCCTTACTCGACTTTGTCAATCTACCTCAAAATCTTCTTCACGACGAAAACGAGTACTATCGAAGTAGGTGATTAAGCTAATAGATCCGCCAGAGCCCCATTGAAGTTCATATGTGCTCCAGATGTTGTCGGTCAAAATGAACCAGATCTCTGGGACTTATCGAAAAATGTACCGGCTTTATTGATCAATGGTGAACGTATGTTGGACTTTCCACGGCCGCTTCCGATTCATATCAGCTTCTCCGGAGAACTGGGATTGAAAAAGTGTAAGTTCCTAGATATTCTGAATGACCGAGCCGGTCGAGGGCCAAACCTTGGGGAAGAGGTCTCGTAATGGTGTTCGAAACTCAGAAATTTACATTCAGTGACACATACTTGAAACATTGCTGGGTTGTCTTTTCCTAGCAAATTCAGTACTTAACAGATTCATTCGAAAATGACAAATATTTTCTAGCAGCAAAGAAAGTGGATTTCGATGAAAATCTTCAGGCAATCCTTCAGAAGCCCTCAAAAGGCTTGATTGTCTTCTCTCTCGGCACCGTCTCAAACACAACAAATATGCCTCAGCAAATGATTGTTAGCAATTCCGAACATTTTCGTTTTCCTTCTTTTTCTTTGACACTTTCCACTTGCTTCCGTTTCCGTTTCCTATATCCAAACTTATTCAGAGCTCGTTTGTTGGTGCGTTCGCTAAGTTGAGCGATTACACCATCCTGTGGCGTATGGAGGGTAAGGTCAGTAATACTATTTATGTACTATGAGCAAAAGTAGATTTAAATGTCTACTGTGCCTGGTAGATTCAATTTGGATGGAGTTTACTAAACGATTGATCGATCGATACAACTTGATCACCTATTTTAGGAGTTATCTTAGGAATTTTAGGTAGACGAGGCGATCTCACTGAAGCACGTTCACCTGCTCAAATGGCTACCACAAAAGGATATTATGAGTAAGACTTCTTAAGAATTACGTGAACAAAAAATACTCCAAAGTATCTCCTAGAAAATTCCTATCACTTTTTGCTATTAAATGATTCGCTCCACCTCGGAATCCTGCTGAGCAGAAATGGATAAGAGTCTGTGAAAAGAATGGATTTGGGAGAGTTAGGAGGAAGAACGACTGTAGGCAGGGGAATTAGCGGCTAAGAAGCTAGGAGGATCTGAGAGTCTAATCGTAAGGGGGCGTGAATAATGAGGTATGAGCGTGTCCAGTAAGTAACAAGATCCTTCAACGGAAATTAACCCCACAGAATCGAAAATCAAAACGGCTGCATGG